ATATTTGTTTAACTAATTTTACCCTGTAGTTATGTTCCCTGATCATTTATTTACCATTAAAACCATGAAAATGTATATACATTTTTTATTTACAGCTGGTAAGCATTTTTGTAGCACACAGTATATCCCCTCAAGAAAAATACACTGCAAATAAAAAGCTACGAAGAAAAATCAATGCCATAGCTTTTCATGTTTAATAACCTGAAAATGTCGTATAACTAGTACATCATTTAAACGAAATAACGTGTAATCAAATTATTTAGTGGCATTAATTAATTTCTTAACACAGACGGCTTTCTGTGCAGTGCTGCTGCATTTTCTACAGAAAGGAATTCCACTTTAAGGACTCCTTAATAAAAACAGTAATTACCACAAATTATTATGTGCTCAGTCCAATATTAATAAAATATTTCATTGAGAGTTCGAAGCTTTTGTGTCATCCAATTAATGTGTCATTAATGTTGTGCACTTATACCAGCGAAATCAAAATTGTATTTGAAATCTAAAAAATAAAATAATTACAATCCTGCACAATGTTAATATTTAACACAAGTGAGTATGTCTGTTCCAATACCACAGCAGTCAAATATATTGGAAAATGCCCTATAGGATAACTATAGGAGAAGTGTTTAAAATGATGTAATAGAGAATATAAGAATAGTTCATGATTGTTGCTCAAAGTCTAAAGACCAGAACCAAACACATTTAGCTGCATGACATCTACAGTAGGTAAACAAAGTTAATGGAATCTGAGAATACATGGTTTATTCATTAGTCATAATAACAAGAAATAACTAAGCCCAGAGCTCAAACCTTGTAATTGGGGGAAGCAGATCGGTTAAATACATTCTTCTTGTAAAAGGAGTTCTACTCTGGCACGGTTTTTATTTCTTAGAAATTCTTTATTTAGGAAAATAATTGGCTTTGAGGTTCAATTCCTGACTAGGTAGATCCAAAAAGAATTGTATCTGGCAAATAACATAGCTTTAATACAATATAATAAAAAGAAAATATTTTCTCATGGATCATAAATGAAAAAACATGGATAATTTTGCAGTTTCCTTAAGAACATATTTGAGTAAGACAAACTTTCAGTGATCACCTGTAGAGATTTAAGCAATGGTCTAACTGAGAAAAATATTTTACTTTTTAACCACTATGTTATGAAATCTTCAGTTGTGATACTTTTTATATGAATATTATTTATATTAATTACAATAAGGCAGTAAAAGCATAACGCTTTGACATAGCTAAGGTTCTGCACTGACCTACATTAAAACCACTGTTGAAAAATCTGTAACTGTAACATATAAAAACTAAAATATTTTTTTTTTTCCAGTTAAGACTCAGGGGCTCCTGGTGTTTGAAAACGAATTCCAAAATTGTCAACAACGCCCAGTTAAATTTATAATGACATTCAACGATATTCATGTCTAATTAAAAATAAATATTTATCGTCTTAAAGCTGAAAGTGTTTCAATGGTTATGCCATCTGCTTCCTTTTTTGCTTAATTTTGCTAAACTGAAACCGAAACATGCTGCTAGGTTATACAAAACCCACACAGCAATTGCAATTGAAAAGCCAACTCGGTACAGAAAGTATAAGTCTAATTATAAATACAAACAGAAATATATAAAGTGTGCAATGATACAAAAACTTCTGTTTAGGCACCCTGGCTGCCTCTCATCTGAACTTAATTAAGTGTGTAGAATTACAGGGACTGGCCAGGGTATACCGCAGGCTGTAGCTCTGGCTCTTGCTAATCAAAAGGGCACATGTTGAATGCACACAACTTAGTTAAGGTTAATCCACTGAAGATGATCCCTCACTGGTCCTAATTAGGTGATAGATTGTTGAATAAGAATGCAGGAATGAAGGGGAAGTACCGTCCCGCCAGTAGAGCAGAAACTTCTAATTCAATTTAGGGCTGTGTTTTCACAGAAGCAAAGAGTTAAAGGAGTCGCTTGGAGAACGGACCACACTGTGGAGAGGACCGTTCCTTCAACAGCAGCCCTTACTGTAAAACGGTACAGACGGTAAGGCTTCTGTGTCCATTCATTATCTTTGCGATCGAGAAACCAAGGGTCATACCGCATCATTTTCAGGTCAGGGTAATGACTTCAAAGACCCGCTGGCAGTGTTTTGAAAAAAAAAACAAAATGTTATGTTTTAAGTCAAAATTTGTTGTTGTCTTTTGTTAGAAATTGCCCACACCTTTTCAACACTGACCATCAGTGATATGCTGATGACATTTCTACATCTGTGCCCATGCACAATCTCTATAGTGTAACAGATCTTTTATATGGGAAGAAAGCTGATCAGATCAATTCTTCATTCAGTATTTCAGCTTTTTTTCAGGTTGGCAACTTGAAGGACAATTACTACCACACAACTTCTTGGAGACATAGACGTATTTAATAAAATGTGAAATGAATTAAATACAAATAATGTGAGATTCTTAAACAGATTTTCTACGAGCCCATCTTCTACTTACTCTTTCAAAAGCAGAAATAGTATAAAAAGATACCATGATTACATTAAATAATAAATCAAATTAAACATGAGGAGTGTTTCAATAATAACAAGCCTACAGGAGTATGCCCTGTGAATTCAGGACAAGCCTATTTCTTACAATGTCCTCTTAGGTACAGAGCCACATGACAAATACATATTTCTTTTTGTAGTATAATTATCCTAACATAGTAATAATGTTAAATTGATTAATACAGAGAGAACAAAAAGGTGTGCTTTATATTTCTAAAAGTAAACATTTCCATTTAATTTGGGTTTTTCACCAAATGAAAATAAAAACACAAATCAAATGTAGTTCTTCTCAATTCCTTTTTGAAGTGCCTGTATGATTTAAACGGACATAAAATCCCAAATCAAATCGGAAAGATCTGGTGAATTCTATGGACCAATTGTGTGAATGTGGATGCTGTTACGGTGATTCTGAACAGAACAATAGAATTACATATAATTAAAGTCTGGAGAAAATGAACAGCATTCAGAATCTCTTCTGCCTGTCATGACCTGATACACTTTGTCTTCAGGGACTGAGTATATGAACTATTAAATTTGCATAACAGTTGAGAGAATAACAATCTTGCATATTAATTAACCACTGCTATTGCCCGAAGGCCAGCAGTATTAATCTTACAAAAACAACCATAAAGAATAAATAACTCCACATTAGTATAAATAAGTCTTTTTGGGGACTTTCAGACATCCTTCATTTTGTTGATTATTGTTTGCAATGAAGTGCACTGGTTGTATAAAACTTGAATAATAAATCTAGCTTTCTAAATTCCTTCAATTTTTAATAAATGGAGATTCACAGTTTATTATGTCTAATACTAACAGCAAATTCATGTAAAATATAAATCTCTCTGCACACCAATTAAATGATATGTTCCGGGAGGTTTTTGTGTCTCTTTTCAGACAAATAATAAAAATACCCTGTCAAAGAATGTGCCCTGATTCTCGGCTTAGTGACACGTTTCTGCCTAGCTGGGGTATCTATTTCTGATTTATTAACATTTGATCCTCTAGTTTCCTGCCATTGATCAAACCTGACTAATACTCCTCTCAGCTGATGGGCTTTAAATGAAACCCGATAGCTCGACGCACAAGGAAGAAAAGCTCTACCAATTCTAGACTCGCTGGGCTTTTTTGTTCAGGATTCTTGTTTGTTTCTCTTCTCCCAAAGCACCTTAAATTCTCAGAGCACTGGGTCACTGTGACTTGGTTTCACTGCATTCCTAAAGAGAAAAATGTATATTGTTCTTGTTGCCGTTTCTGAATTTTGCAGCATCATAAAATTTCAGAATATCACAGTTTTAATTCTTTGGTTAAACCTGCAATGATTTTACACTACAGGATTCCCGTCTCAAGGGGAAAAAAAGACAATGTGATGAAGAAAGAAAATGAAATACCTTGGTGAGTGTCTTGAGTTGTTTTGAAAAAACAAGACTGCTGCGCATTCGTCCTGACAGACACACTTTCTAAGCAAAATCAGACTGGCGATGTTTATTTTCTGCCCCTTGCTGAATCTTTTCCTGGCCCCAATATTCTCTGTAAAGTAAAATGTCAGATTTATCACTGAAACAGATGTTTGTGCAGTGTCAGTCATATCCTGTGGACTGTATATACATTTACACCCCATCGCCATAACATGCCTTCACCCCACTACTGATGGTCTGTATGCCATTCAATCTACAGCTAAGCCCTGGTCAGGAAGGTCACAGGCTTCTCCACATCTGGATTTGATCACTTCATGCAAAGATAGGGTCCTTCCAGAAGCTTGTCTACCTTTGCTGCGTTTAAAAGGCCTGTGAATTATGCTGCATAAGCCATCTTTTGTACATGTCCTGGAACCACAGTTCCCTACTAGGCGTACATTTGAAGATAAAAACAGTGCGCACACTGTTTTAAGTAAAAGATGACAAATTTTATAGGCTCCTGGATTTTTACAAGGAACTATTTTCTTTGACCTGAAAAAAAATCAAGCTTGCACGTCCTATGTTTTCAGCGATGGTTTATCAGTGAAAAAAACAGAAAACCTTCTGGAAAGAAATGTGATGTTAAAAAAAAATCAAGGCGTTTACCACTAAAAAATAAAACCTGCCATGTCTTGGAAAATCTACCAATACAGTTAAATTTCAAGATCCATGATTATCATATTTTAATTATATCATGCATTTCCCATGCTTATGTATCAACTATTATCATTAATATTATTTTAGTAGTAGTACTGTAAGTTTTTTTTTATTTCTGTTACACATCCAGCATAAACTAACACTAATATTATAGAAAAAGATCAATTGTAACATGAACATAACTCAAATAACAGGGTGTCTGTCAAAACTGCAAGGAATTCTCTATGAAAAAAAAAATTCAACCAGATAGGAAAATTCCAAAAACCTTTTTTTATTATTTATTTTTAATCAGATGTTATAATTCTGAACCAGTGTATCACTATATTTAACAAATTTATTTTAATTTTATTTATGGAGAGTTTATTAGTGTAAAGGATTTATATGAACATCCAAGTACAGCACTGTTTATTTTTCAAACAGAGATCAGAACTTAGCTAAATATTTTGTGGATTCAATTTACATCATTGAATGCATAATTCTGCCTGCCACAATTATACAGACACAATAAATGTCAAAGTTTTAAGGAAGGTTAAAGTTTAGAAGGTGTTACATGGTATAACATATTGCCCCTTTTCTTTTGCATTTTAAAATCCTGCAAAATCAAAGGAATTAACTACCAAAAGCTACACTATAAAATGTCTGTGGCAAACACGTTATGATAAGGACTATGCAGATACTGAAAATGTCCTCTGGTGAGCTGTCATGTCAAAATCATAATCTAAGTGGGCATCATTCACGACAGAAACATCACTTTGTATAATCTGTTAATTAAAGGACTTTTATAAACACTCCGAGTTTCACTTGCTTATAAAGAAAAACAAAGGCTAGGTAAAGAGAAACTGCTGCCTTTCCAAAACATAAACATATTGTTATTTTTTGTGATAAGAGAAAATGGGAAAAGATTCTAAGGAAACGAAAAACGGCTAAGCGCAGTCACTGGAAGTGACACAAATCGGAAGACAGACAAAACTGGCGCTCGGAGCAAGGAAGTGGAGGAAGAGGAGGAGAACAGAGGGATGCCGCAAGCGTGTGAAGGGTAGGGAAAGAGACTTCCAGGAAGGCTTAGCGGGAAACTGCAGCGACCCAAGGAAAACAAATATGAAGCTATACTAAAGATGATGTTTATTGAATACATATCCTCCTGATACTGTGATACTGTATTTCTGCTGCAATTGCTGGCGTTTTCGTTCACTGTTGACCTCGCTGCCTCTTCCTCATGCTGAACTGTTGCTGACTACAGGGCCACAGTCTCTGAAATGACACATGAATCCTGTGTAGAAAGTGTAATCTGTATCTCCTCTTCTTCCTCTAATTTCACTGCTGAAAACAATTGCACTCATTCCTCATTTTAATCATTTCCAAGGATGCTGTTCAGAAATGTAAAAGATGGTGTGCAAAAGCTGAAGTGTCCAACTGTATGTAAAGCACCATTTAAGTCACAATTAAAAAGTCTGGGAGTTAATTTACTAGAAGAAGGCATCACTGTACAGCCCCACCACACTGCGTCTAAGTTATTTAGAATAGCACAATCAATTGCTTATTGAGTAACAGTGACAGAACCAACACTACAGATAAAATCTTGGATCGACGTAGGAATTAAGCGAGCTTTCATTAATACAAATAGGAATTCCACCCCAAACTGCAAAGGGAAAAACATTCATGGTGTTAAAAAATCTAAAAAGAAGAGGAAAACATTGCAATGGGTAACAATGGCTTGTTACATTTTACACAGGACTGCAGTTTGGGCTGCACCCTCTTGCCTTGGTGTATAACTAATTCTGACGCAGGCTAGATTTCTTGTTTTTTTCCTTCTTTCAGATGGGCCGCGCCAGGCAGCTGCGGCGGCATTCTATTTGTGTGCCTAGCACGGAGAACTGCGGGAGTAGCCCTCCTCCGCTGCAAACTGCGGCTCTGCCAGAGCGCTGAGTCCAGGCCGTAGATGGAGGGACGAAACCTGAGTCACGAGTCCCACTGCTTGCAGCCCCCAGTTGCCTTTGTCGTGCCGACATTGACAAATTATTCATCTCAAATCACAGCGCACCACCGCTGTCAATCAAAGTTGGGGGGGAAAAAAATTATTTTGATGAGGCTAAATGAACCGTAGAAATGCATCACTCACCAGGCTTAGAGAGCAGGGGGGGCAGCAGTCCCTCTCCCTCTGTGACACTGGGCACCAAGCCCCTGCTCCAGCATTAACCTGCATGGGAAAGCAGGCCAGATTACTTTCTTTTGTTTTCTCAGCATTAAAAACAGTTTACTTTGGCACAAGGTTACCCTGAACTGGCTTCATTTTTCATTTAAATGTTAAGCTACACATAGTTATATACAGTTTATATACATATACATGCATTGTGTATGCATTATGCAGTGCTTTGTGTATGTCTGCAATTATTTTAGTCATGTCTGTCTCTAAAATGGCACTCCCTTCTCTCTGATTCATGTGCATTAAATAAAGTGTTCTTTGATATTTAGTCTGCAGTCATGCCTACAGTACATAGACTGGGTCTGTTGATTGCAAGTCCAAGCTCTGAAATATGTTATTGAATCAAATCACAGCTTTAAATAAAGAATTGTGATAGTTGAACAGCAATCTAATAATGTATTTTTTGAAAGTAAGACTTTCATGTAACTACTTTAATCCACAGAATTAAATCTGATGTTATAATATGACAAACGTTTATGTTTCGTATGTTGATTACATTATAACCCTCAATGCATGGGACCATGAAATCATAAGAATGCATTTGTTAGCTTTATTGCCTTAGGAAACAAACAACTAATTCAAACAGATTTCTTCATGATGAGCACATGGATACTACCAGTGAAGATAACTGTGTCATCATATAACTTCGGAAACTTTGATGAGGCTGAGCCTTTGCTTCTTCATACACGCATGTGTACTTTTAATAAATGAGAAAGTGAAAACTGGGAGATGTACTCAGGAAACATCTTTCACCAGAGATGTCCAAGTTACTGAGATATAGCTTCCTTAAGCTGTATACAGACTTGTATCAGTCAAATGGCAGAGTTTCATGCCCAGTATTTTAAGATAACATTAAATGACTTCTTCTGTCATTTTTGTTACATGCTGTATAATAGCTTAGTAAAGACAGATTTGTATATGAATATAAGATTTTAAAATATAAAGGCTATTACTCATATTTCTCACCAAAAAACAGATTTGTAGCAGGCTGATCCTCAGTGAATGCCTTAGGTATTATATATTTAAGGTGTATTTTTCTTTGGGATAAGAGGGGTTACTGAGGTGCTGGCAAAAAACACAATTGGCCTTGTGTTTATTTTTTTTTTCATTCCTGTTAGTATCTGGGCTACTGGGAACAGAGCCATGTCATGAACAGATTTTGAAAGGAAAGTTGAAATTCTGACAGACAGTAACGTGAGAGTAAAAACCTGTACCATGAAATGCACTCCTGTAAAAAAAAGGATCGTCAACTAAATTAAACTTTCTCTTGCCAATCACAAGACACAGCACTTAGCAGGCAAAAATAGCATATTTTATAGAGCAGAGAACATCTGGACAGTTACTTTGATATTTAATAAAACCGATATTAAATGAAAGTCTTTTGAGTTACTGTTTCATATCATTAATTGCTAATTACAGAGCAAACCTGGCACATACTACAAAGTGACAGAGCAAGCATCTCACACAATTCATCCAGGAAGACACACTGTGTCTAGGAAAAGCTTTATTTGCACAAGTTCGCTGCTGAATTACTCCAGGGAAAGGCAAAACCTGATATTTCCATGTACTGCAGGGAGACAATCGTAATGAGTTTATATGAAAGGAAGAAATCAGAAAAATAAGAAAGTGTATTTCTCACACTGCTAATTTTCACTGAGACTGTATGGATTTCTATTGCATAAAAAATGAAATGACTGTTTTTGTCTGTCTCCTTTTTTTCTTCATCTCGATAATACTGTAATTCACGGCTTTTATAGTATTATTATACATAGTAGAGTGGCAGCAATAATGCAAATAAAAAGTGAACAACGTAATAAATAATGTGAAAAAAATTGAACTGACTGAAAGTTAATGAAATCATCAGGAAACTGGTACAGACCAGAAAGAGGTGCCACATGTTGCCTTACCTGGCCTCAACTCTGGGTTTAGTGCTCAAGCCTGAGGACTTAAAGCTGTAGGCTGGAATAAACCTCTCAGCTCTGCAAGTGGTGAAGCTGTCGAGCACCCATAAACAGTTATTTAGACATGATTAATAGCCTAATAGAAGCAGACCACCAATGCCAGAGGTACACAAATCATGTGATAATGCTTCTTCTCTGAGGTACAATACACCTCAAGCCATTCCCCGTGATTTACATCATGCATTTAGTTTGAAGCACTTCAGTTGGAGCTCCACTATTACCTTAGATTACTCGGGATGAATTATGAAATGTTGCAGCAAATTCTGAAGCCCACATCTTCCCTGAACATAATACTCTGAAAAACCTTCTCCTTGAGTTTAATATTTTTGTCATTATTGTGACAGAAAACAAATTGTAAGAAGGATAGGCATCAGGAAAATGTAAGACTTACTCATAAATAAAGGAGAAGGGATCAGGTAAGATACTTTACAGGATTTCTGACAGACTGGTTTAGTAAACCAGCAGTTTGAGCAGCATCCATCTCCAAAACTAGAAGAGGGAATGCTCTAGCTCTTTGTCTAAGTGCTGAGCTTTCTCATATATTACTTATAACATTCACATTTGCTTTTGCTTTTCAAATACGTTTCTTATACAAATGCAGTAACAACAGTAAACAAGTTGTTTTTTTTAGGTGTGAAAAGTTGTTGGAGTTTTAACACGTTGTGTTTAATTAGGAAATTTTCTTTATTTAGGAAAACGAAGACAAATGAGTGCAAAAGACTATTGGCCATTCACTGCACATTTTCAAAAGACAACTCAGTGTCAAAAACTGCCGTGTGCCACATTAGGCTCTCTGCACTGAAAGAAAATGTAATAATTTCAAACTACAATAACCTCCCCTTGCCAGGATTTCAATTACACTTAATTATTTAATATTAAGAACACGTTTTTATCATTAACTTTGATTAAAAACAAACGTTTTGAATCATGAAGGAATCACCTCATACAGGTATCGCAGTAATTGCTGGGTTAACTTAAAACACTAAAGCTTCCTGTTTTTTTCGGTGAAACCATCACATCACTGCCAGCAATATCGTGTTTCTGTTTTCTTAATTCAATAAATGTGAACAACTGAATGTGCCTGATGCACATAATAGAATAAAACGCTGTCAAGTTAATTATCTCTAACAAAACCAAATAAGTTTTATTAGACCACAGCCCACTATTTAACCACAAGAAGACGAATGTAGAAAACAAGCAAAGAAATGGGAAATGGAAATCAATCCTGCTACCGTTTACACGATCACTAATTAAAGCCTAAAGTCCTTTTAGTTGTATCACTATCAATGTGGAACATGAAGTCTAACATATTTGCCCTCCAACGCAGATCTCTGCGGGTTATAGTTACTAGTGCGTGTAAAAAAACCCGGGTGACACGCCCCCTCGGTAACTCAAATGGTAACAGATGTAACCCTTTTGCTGAAATGCATTAATGTTCAATTTACAAACAAAGTGGGCTAACGTAATCAGCAGGTTTTAAAAAATACGTCTATCTTGGGTCGAACTAGCGCAGCGGACAGCCGTAATGCAAATGGAATGGTTAACTAGTTCACACTATCCTTGCGTTTGGATGTCTAATGTATCATTGTGGTTGGTAGTTATAAACAACCAAAGCCATCTTCAGCCCACTGTAAACCGAAGAGCGTAGATGTATATCGAGCCCAACAAAAACATTTTTGATTAATCGCGAACCCTTGACCCGTTGAATGACAACAGCGAGAAAAATGTTGTCAGTATCTGTGGTAGTGCTCGCACATCCGTAAGAGCCCCAATACACACGGATTCGTCCTCGTTTATAAACATGGCGAGAAGATGAACTTGTAGGTTTATGTTGGAAAAGACACATCATTTCTTTCCTGATTCTTACACCACCATACCTGCTTTTAAAGGCTTTCTTCACTTCACAGAACTTTTCAGGCCACCGGAGTAAGAAGAGCGGTGTTTTAACCCCTGGTCTCCGCGATGTGGGTTCTTAAGCCCATTCATCAGGAGGTTATTTTCCTCACTGTCAGCCCCGTGATGCCTTAATGCAACGACTGCTGTTAGGGGATTAACATACAATAGTCTATATTCCAAAAAATATTAACAGTATATTATTTCATACACAGAAGAAAAGAACGTTACAGAGTTTAATACACAACTTCAAAGTAAATCGGCTCAATGCTTTTTAATATACAGTATATCCGTCTAATTTAGAAATTTAGTTGATCAATTTGATAAAATATCGATGTATTTGATTTGTTTATCCAAAAACAATTTGTTTCTCAAATATCTAACTGTATTTAACTGTATTTAAGATTAATTTATTGTCTGAAAATGTTTATATTTTAGTCAATACCGCTTTCTTCAAATATATCTACTTGTATAATATGGACCTTATTTATTTATTGGTTATATTTTATCGTATGGTCCCAACAATGTTAATTTCTCTAATTTTGTCATTAGAAATGATGCCATTACATACGAATATACAGTAAGAAAGTAAGAAAGGTTACAAACATGAGAAGGTTATTTGCATCTAGCTTTTTCAGTAAATTGTATCCATTCATTTAATGTATTTTTAAGAAACAACATGGCTTTTAAACATTCTAGCCAAAGGTAAAAGACGAATTAGTTCAGTAAGTTAGTAAAATAGTTTATCTTTTATAAGTTGACTTTTACTTCCAAGTTTTAGAAAGGAAGACATGAGCGTTTTTAAACATTCAGACTGAAACTACGTTGCAGGCATACAATTTAATATCAAATGCCATGCTTAAATACCCTAACAGACGTTATATATTAAATAAACATATGTTTTTGTTTACATCACGTTATGTTGCATTAAAATAAACATTTTTAAATTTGTTTAGGATCTTTGGATTGTTTAGGGTGCATTTCGGAGGTTGTCTCAGATATACCCTAATAAAAGTTAAAAAGAACAATGGCATTCTTTTTAGAGTCAAGTCATTAGGAGCTTTACTGTAACAAAAGAAAACTCCTATGTCACAGTGACACAGTAGCTTATAATGTGCCTTTTAACAAATCATTTAACCACATTTATGTTTAAGTCCTAACGGCATAATTATATCCAAAAATAAATATATCTTGCTGTTAAGTAAAGTGCTTCTACAGATATAGATATTTATGAGGCTGGCAAATGTACAAGTACAGATATGTGTTACACTGCAAACATTCCCTGCAAGGAAACAAAAGCTGTTATTGTTAACATTCTGTAAGAATAGATTTTGAGTAGAATGTATAAAATTGAATGAACATTCTGCAGTTTTTCTGCGCAGTTTGGGTAGAGTACTGATATAGATAATGTGTTTACAGTATTTCAAAAGGTGAAGCTTCCAATAGGCTGGCACCAATTCCCCAAGAGGAATTGTTTTATATCAAAATCAATGTGTTATTTTACACTGGTAATTTTGCAAACTACAGGAAGTTTCTCTTGTGTAACATGGTACTGCATATCATAGGCAAAAGCACTAGGACAGTGTTAAATGAGAATAATTTCTCCAGGGCATAGCTGATAGGTTTTTCATGATATAGTAAATTATATTGTTCCATTTTTCACTTTTGTACCAGTGCATGAAAGAATAACCAATAAAGATATTAATAATAATCTCATTTGTTGTTGTAGCAGACAACTATATTATTATTTTCCAAATGCATACTACAATGATAATTATGCACTGTGAAGTGTCAGAAACCAGTTGTAATTAAAACAGTTAACCATTACTCCTCACTAATTAATTTGACCATGTTACCACAATCAAAAGCAAAACAGAATGCCAGTATCTTTGCATTCATGTTCATATCTTGCTTAACGATTTTCACTTTTGCCGTTGAATGAAAAAAATATATATATATAACAAAATCCTCGGTTTCGGCCAAGGAAAGACTTTCATGAGCAAAGAACACAAGAGTTCATTTTGCAGTCAGCTGAGCTGGGTGCTGATCTGTTAAGGTGCAGGTTTCCTTCCTGTCAATTGTGACAGCGTGTTTGAAACAGGATTTACAGCCTTGCCCTGTTAGAGGGTGACATTGCTTCAGGCATCAAATGTAAAGGATATGTTTTCCCAGTAGACTAGCCAGGTAACAAACTCATAAAATTCCAGGAAGCCTTAGACTTATTATCCAGAAATGATTCAGACAGTACTTATATTTTATTCAAAACTCTGAGACACTTCCAGTTAGTCATTCAATTTGCTCTTGTTATCTTTTGACTTCTTAACCCCTTAAAAACTGTACAGTGTCAGTCAAGCAATTGTATTTATTATTTTGGCCAGTGAGTGCCAGTGTTTGAATACATGACTGTCTAATTCATTTGGCCTTCCTTTTTTTCCAGCACTCTGAGCCATCAGTGTGGCTCTGCTTTTCCAGTGAGGTATGAATTACTTTCTTTAGACTGTTAGTGTCAAAATCAAACTTATAAACAAGTGTGTTGAAATGGCATGTCATGCAAGGGTAAATGAGTCTGTTACAACAACACACAGGGGAAATTTGGACTTTTATTTCTTTTGTGATTTTATTTTCATAATTGAGAAAACATGTATTTGCCTCCGTTTCAGTTTTAGCTGAGTTTTGTAGCGGATCTTTTTCATTTAGTAGGAATTCGAAAAACTTCCTGTTCTCACTTAAACATAGTGAACATTTATTTTTTCAGAGTGACCCTTGAAGGCGTCCACTGGAAGATCAATACCCAAACTATTTGTCAGATTTCCATAAAGGAGATCTCAAGCTAATCCACGCATTTCCCACGTTCATTTTTATACATCGACTAAGCAGCTTCACATCTACAATTTTCAGAACAAATTTAGATCAAAGGCCTACTTAAGCATGGGTTTAGTATGAACCCATGTCATGTGGAAATACAACAAACAATTTCACCTCAACACAAGCCAGACATCATAGTGATAGACCAGACCACAGGGCTGCTCTTTATTCAAAGCAAGTTTAACTTATAGATTTATACTGTAGTTTTGTAATCTGCATTGAATTGACTGCCAAAATGCAATCAAGCAGTAGCAAAAACATAACACATAAAATTGGAGAGTTCTACATAGCAATGAGAAGGGGAAATGTTTTCAATGTATAGGAATGCTGTACAAATAAGAAGATCTTAGGAACTCCATAGGAAAAATAACCCTGTGAGTTATTCTTTAATCAGACGTTTACATTTTTTGTCGTGTAATGCATACCTTGAGAAAATTGTTTTTGTTTATTTTGTCTACTATGGCAAGCCTGTTTTGTCTTGTGTGGCATGATTCTTCCCCCCTTTTAGTTTGGGACTGCCTCTCAAGGCCTGCTTACTCAATGCAGACCAAGATTTTGCTAAAGGTTGCAGTGTAAGCTCTTGATTTGAAATGATGGTTCAGTTGAGTTGACCAAAAACATACCAGCTCCAGCTAAAATGTAAATAAGGTGACGTCATTTTGGACTTTAGACTTTTGAGTGTCTCAAACAAACTAAGTGGCCAAGTTATAAACGTCAATTCCCTTCAGGCAACCCCTGGCTTCAAGTATCTTAACGAGCTAGGTGAGATGAATGACACCTGAAGGTGGAAGCAGAATGAAACTTGGTCTCATTCTGTCCGTGGTTTTGGTCTTTTGAAGCAAGGTCACACTCTGTCAAGATATGTTTGGAAGCTGGTGTTCAACAGCTTCTGAACATTAAATCACATAAAACTCATGCATCTTCCATTGGTCTTATTAGTCACCTTTGCATTCATGTAAGACAAGCATCCTCAACTGTAACGGACAGCCAAAGGACAAATGAGCTGTGAAAAATGTTTATAAAGGAGATGAAAAATAAAAAGTCAATGGCCCTTCAACAGCAGCAATTATTGTATTATTAATAATGAGAGATCTAATAACTACAACACAGAGTGAGCATCTCCCCCAGCATAGAGAAAGTCAGAATCCAAGAGTTTACCGGCATCACCCCATTAATACAAACTCCTGATGTGACTGAAGTGACCCTGTTGTTTAATAAAATCCTATAGGAAGAGAACTCCATCAACAGGTCTTGATATTTTGAGTCTTGCCTGATGGTGTAAAAATCTGTTGTTAGTCTTTTAAGCTCTCAGCAAATAAAAGTGCCTACGTTTTCACTCGTCCCGTGCACAAAGAGATGTGTATTGTGGGTTTGGATTGAAAACCTGCATAACTGCTACAGAGGCAAGTCAATAACCTGCTGTTGGGATTTCACTAAAGACTTTAAGGTCTCATGTATCCAGTCAATACCCTTGCATTAGCTGGCTGATAAGTAGCATTTTTTTTTTGGTTAAAGACAACTTTCCTTTATACAACATGACCTTATTTTCCAAGATCATTAATCATGTAACATGGATATATATCTCTCATTTTTTTCTCTCTGAGGACATTAAAATGTAAAGAAAGTACTTGTAGATGTTTAAATTGCATGATATAGGGGAAATGTCTATTTAATTTAATTAATTTAATGCAAAGAATGGTTACAAATTATTATGGATTATTTATAACAATTCAATTTGGATATTTTCAAAGAGAATAAGCTCTGATCTGAAATAAAGTACCACTTTGTTACATCAGTTTTGGTAACAAAACATTTTAATTTAGCTTCCTTTGCTACAGCCATTTTTAAAATGATTTACATATTGGTTTTGGTGTCTATAGGAAAGTTGCTCAAAAAGACATTCTCTGAGATCTTCTCTCAATAATGTCATAAAGAAATGAGGATCATTCAAGAAGTTTGAACTGCCAATAATCATATACAGTACCTACATACTAGCCTTTCAGTTATAAATTGAGTGTTGAGGTATGCTGAAACAAAACAGTTTAAAAGGCCTGCAAACACAACTTTTAGAAATAATACATTTTCGAATGCAATGGGCATTTACACACACGATTAGCAGTGAACACACTTATGATTAGCGCTTGTTTGTTAGTTAGAATACTAACATCATCTAATAAAATAAAGGTAAGAGAGGGAAAAAATCTGAATATGTTTC